GGAAGGAGGAAGGCTTACAAATTACATTCAGGGGCCGGTAGGTGGCATGATGGTTAAGGTGCTCAGTCCCACATGGCCAACTGAGGTGTGAGACCTGGGCGTGGCATCTTGAAGCACACACTTGGGCACATGTGCGTGCATGCCCAAAATCCTAGGAGGAAAATGGAGGAGAAGGGACTACAGTGTGGCCGTCCCCCCAGGGGATGACTTCTCGCTTTCCCTCTATCTCTGTCTCTCCAGCAAGTGCACACGAGAAAAAAAAAAAAAAAAAAAAGGAAAGTGTTCAACGTGACCTTTATTGGGAGAAAGGCTTTAAAAATAATAATAAAGAAGTGAAGTTTTGTGACTCCTGATCTTGAAAAATAGCTGTCTGCCTCACTCTGCTGTCTGCATCAGCGGTCTGGGAGTTGGCCCTGTGGAGGAGTCCGACCCGGCGAGGCCCCAGGATCTATCTGAGTCCCCCAACTTTTGAGCTCCACTTCCGGTCGGTTCAGTACGTTGGCAAGGCTGCTACTGTGCGCCCCCCACCCCATCCCCGACCTAGGAACAAAGCTTGGGTCAATTAGCATGTCAGCAAGGCTGCTTGCTATTTGCTCCAGAAAACTGGTACTGAGCTTACTGAGAAGCGACCCCCCTCTGACTCCCCAATATACTACTATAAAAGAATTACATAGCTCTCTTATGCATCCTGAGTATATGATACAATTTTCTAGGAAGTCCCCCGACCGCTCCCCTTTGCTCTGATCACTTACTATTAAGTACAATGCTTTATCTCCATGGTGACAACAGAGGGTGGGCTGAAGTTCTATCTAGGCAGAAATAATCTTGACCTTTGGAAGGCCCTTCGAAACACATTTAAGGTAAACTTAATCTTTTCTTTACCTAAAACAGGATTAGGCCAAAACTGACCCAGGACACCCCAGCCCTCACCAAGTGAAATAGATAAATATATTAGGATTCCTCAAATTAAGTTTTAGATCCCTACAAAACTGTATAAGTATCATTCTTTATTAGACCCATAAAAACTAATATCTATACTTGAGACTTTCTTTTCTCAGCACCATTCCCGGTAATCACAAGATGGCTGCTGCACCGCATCAGCTGATAATCATCTCTGCTTACTGGAACCGCTTTCCCGAAACTGCATTCCATGGAGACCCACCTACAATTGCAGAACTGCACTAGAACCACCCTCAATCCAACCCTGAACAGAATATATGTTCCCTATTCTTAAGACTTTATGAGCTGATAATTGAAACACGTAGTCCCTCTTCCATTTACTTGCATGTAACACATTTTCAATAAAAATGCACGATGATTCCTAGCAGTTGTCACTCCTCAGAGAGCGATCTCTGAGGGGTGTCCGGCAAAGGACGTGCATAAAAAGGCACCGAGGGAACCAGCAGTTAGCGTAATGGCTATGTCTCTGGACTCCCACATAGTCGACCGCGGTTCACCTCCTGGACCCGGTGGCTTAAAACTCACGCCCGGCGTGTGTGCGTGCGTG